GAGGGATGTTGAATCTCAAGTGCATCCACCAATGATTAAAAATGAGTTCATCACTTTATTCATCGATACATTAAAATCTCCATATATCAACCATATGTTAGGTATTGCCACTAAGAGTTTCTCTAATGTCATCATGTGTGGAGAAATAATTGAAAGGACGATCAAGAATGGTAAAATAAGGAATACAAGCAGTACTGACACTGAGAAAGAAGCTGAAATCAGTATAGTGGGAGCCTATTCAACTGGTCGTAAGGCTGAGCCTTATAGGATATTCCAAGAAAAGAGTTAATTTGACCCAATTCCAATAACTTATAAGGAATTACTTCCAATACTGATTGAGAAGAACTTAATGACTCCAGTCCAATCCAAGCCGAAGGTACAGCCATATCCTGAAGGCTACGATGTCAATGTCGTATGCAACTATCAAACAGGAAGTTTAGGGCATTCCACTGAGAATTATGGGGCATTGAAGTGAAAGGTCTAGAATCTGATTGATTTAGGGGCATGGACATTCGATGAATGATGGGGCATTCTGATTCTTATCAAGAAGAGATCTTGACATCTACCATGAAGCTTTATTTCACTTGCATTAAGCGCATTGTTTTGTTTGAACTTGTTTTTGTTCTATCTTTTGCTTAAATATTTTGTGAAGTCCTTCGATGATTGAACTTATGTTACCTTCTAAGGTTGTGAATAATTGAATGAGTTTTAGTCTTGTAGTTTTTTAATAATATTTGAATTAATGATAGAATGATATTTGATCGCATGATTTTAAACATATATTGTACTAGTTAATGAAACCTAAATTTTGAACAAACCGAACTGTTAACTGAATCAAACCATTGACCATTGACTTTCATCGTTGACCATTAAATTTATTCGTTGACTTATTCCAATGAATTTTTCACTTCTTTTATATTTTTCGACGCTATGTGTCTGTTTTCGTAGTCTGTTTTACAATATTCTAACTCGAAAGCCTTTTTTACATCATTTATCGTTTAAAGTCATAATTATGTTAAGTATATTATGTGATTTTGGACTCACTTTTAATGTTATATTCTAAAGGTGATCACGAGTCTCTGCATCATTCTTCGATAAATCCTGACACTCCTATTCAGCTCAGTTCGATTTTGTATGTTCATCTCGAGATACCCGTAAGTGTTTTTTATTGACTTAATAGTCTATTTCTATTTAGATATATGGTTTCTGTACTCATAGAATGATGGTTATTTTTAAGTCATCATTCCACAAGACCAAGTACTACCGACCATGGGAGGCGTAAGACCTACCCGGTATTGATTAGCTACTATAGGTGTGTCCCCTTGACCTGTATGATGCATTTAATATTTTATGTTATTTTATTGTATGATGTTTATGTATGCATGTTCATATTCTGATTATGTTTATCTATGATATGTCTAATTTCTTATTAATGTTGCATCACTTTTAATTTGTATGTTGATACATTTCTGTCATCTGCATGGGATCCTCTAAGAAGGGAAATATCCCCATTTGTTTCTGTATGAGATCCTCTTTAGAGGGTTATATCCCCATTCTGATTTCTATTTCTACTTGGGATCCTCTACGGAGGCGATATCCCCATCCTATTTCTGACTGAGATCCTCTACGAACCCCATCTTGATTTTTGTATTCTAATTTAGGTACATCTTCGGAGGGTAATATCCCCATCATGTTTATCTATGGTGAAAGGTAATGTTGTGTGAAATTTTCTATTATAATATACATGTAATGAAATGTTAATTTGTTGCGACCTGTGTTATGATTTACATGCCATATCTTGTCTGATGTACTTAAGATTTGTTATCAATACCTGTTGTATTTAGAGGACACACTGAGCTAAATAGCTCTTTTTTTATTTATCCATGTCCCTAACTTTACAAACGTTACCACTTTAAGTGCCCAAAACGTAACGTACTTTAAAAACTCCGTGAAGTGACATGTGTCACATTTTGGTAATTTTGAAAATTTTATTTTTAAAAAAATAAAATCATTTTTATATTTTAAAAAATAAAATTAATTTCTCTTTAATTATAAAAAAACCCAAATTCTTAAAAAACCCCTAACCTTAACCCGCCGTTGACGCCATTGCCGACTAGGACCACCACTGTCGACGTCGTCCTTATCATCTTCCTAATCAAACGTCGTCATCCTTGTAGTCGATTCATCATCAAGATAAATTTGTAGCGTCAGGGTTCATCAAAGTACAAACATCGATTGGCTCTTGTTCTGGTGGATTTTCATGGGGTTATTAGTCTTTGGGTGGATGTGGGGTCGAATGGAGGTTCAACGATTGCAAAGGGTGATAATCAGTGTGGGTTTAAGGGTTGAAATTAGGATTTTTAAAGTTTTAGGTTTTTTATTTTTTCCAAAATTTTGGGGTTTTTAAAGATAATAAATTTTGAATTTTAATTTTAAATAAACTTTTTAAAATTACCAGAACATGAAACGCGCCTTTTAATGACATAATTTTATGTTTGTTACGGCCGAAGCACCTAAAGTGGTAACATTTTTAACATTAGGCTTCTGGATAAATCGAAAAAAAAGTTTGGGCATCTATTTGAAAAAAATGTATAGTTTAGACAGTTTTTCTAATTAAACCTTAATCTTTATGTGTGAAAAATGTAATCATAAAAACATAATTATTGTGACAAAATTCATTAAATTTTTCACTAATATAATGACGAAGTTATTAGTGACGACGTGTGATGACTAAAAATTTTTGTCTCTATGATATTAAGTGACTAAATTTCATACTTTTAATGACTATTCTTAGTGTCACTGAAAATTCAATTTCTTGTAGTGATTGTTTGAGTTCATAAAGAGCGATTTAACTTGAGACCAAGAGGGTGCTAACAAAGAGGGAGAGATGGTAGTTCACGGGGAATCCCCACAAGAAGATGAAGATGAAGATGAGGAAGACGACGAAGGTTACCACTCACTTGGTGAAGATGATATGGAGGTAAATTTAGCTAGAAAGATAATTATATATGATGTCATATTATCATATATCCTTTTGAGATAATTATATAACTAACTTTTTCTATTTAAAGTGTAATAAAATTCATATTGCATGATAAAATAAAATATCATATGTTCTTTATTAGAAAGTTAAAGGTAAATAGAATGAAGAGCATCAATTTCAAAACTCATGGGAAATATTTTTGAAACTTTTGAGACATATTATTTTGGATTTTAAAACCAAACTCAAGATTTCGAAACCTTTGAGATAGTCTATCTAAAGTTTTGAAACTCATCTTGAAGATTTCAAAATTCTCAACCTAAATTGACTAAATTGATCATTTAATTCTCTTTTGATGTTTTGTATTGTTTAGGGACTTCCAAGTTTATTATAATTGATAATTTATTCCTTTATAAAGTAATTTATGATGTTTGCAATAATGAAATATTCGATTTGTTTTCAATTCGAGTATGATTCAGTTAGTGTAAATTAATGTGATATATTTGACTCAATTTTTTGACTAGATCAGATCGAAGGTGTTACAAAAGATGACAAAACTGAGATACCTATTTTGAATTATGATGACCCCGTTTTGATTGGTGATAACCTTTCACATGCATGAAATATATTATGGTGTAATAAGGGTTTTTGAATTCTTAAATATGCTACATTTAACTTTATGTCACTTGGACTTTTTTATTCGTATACTTAGATGAAGTGTCCATTAGAGCTCTTTTAAGAAAAAGATATTATGTTGGAAATTAAGGATTATTGCATCAAAGGTTAATAATGGTGCTATTTGATGATTGAGATAAATTGTATAATGAGCTTCTAGTGTTATTACAAGTAATGAAATGATTCATCTCATGAACTATTATGAAGTACATAACGATGTCTACATACACCTCGAAAAGTCATCTATGATAAAAGAATATTCCATCAATTGTTTTGATATTCAAATCATACATCAACGGATTTTCATTTTATAAACATATGATCCAAGTTGATGATACACAATTGTATGAAAAGTACAAACAAATATTGTTGCTGACAATTGCATAAGATGATTGAAATATCTTTCGAATTATCTGTCATTGTTGAGGTCAAGACAACGAAGATTGAAACTTCTTTTTTATGTAATTTGCGTATGTCTATCATCCAATAAAATGAGGTTTGCTTGATATCTGATAGAGCGAGACACATTCCATCTATAGTTAAATGATTATGAAGTCATTTGACGTCTCTACATGCATATCTTGTATTCTATCTGTCATATTACAATAAATAGCATACATCAGTTTTATAATAAAGAAATTTGTAATTAAATTTTAAACATGAATAAGTTTTTGCATATAACATTTAATTGTGTGTATCCATTATATTTTTTATGTTTTCTTTAGTCTTAACTACATATTTTAAAACATGATATGAATTGTCCCAATTAAACTTCGATGCAAGGTTAGACACTATAAAAGTTCACATTAATAAGGTTTATAAATGCGTTAATAACATTAAGAAGAAAAGGTTGACGCTACATACACATGACAATCTCGTTGAGACTATAAATATAATGTTGAAAGAGACATGATCTACCAGTAGCAAGTTTGGTGAGAGACGTACATGTTGGGTAGAATTTAGGTCGACAAAAGAAAATGTAACGCTAGTTAACAAAATCAATAAAATGCAACCTTGATGTTTATTCACAAGTTCTCATGAATGAAGTTTTTATTGTTGATACGTTAGTATGCCCACTAAAATAAGGTGTTTCTATATCATATCAAGTCAAACTTAAGTACAAATGGTATGATTATGGTCAGTTTTGGGCACTTTGATACAGTGTTCTCGTGCAAGTCATTGCTTGTATGTTCCTATTGACATGTACACTTATGTTAATGAATGCTTTATTCAACACACGATGTTAAATGTTTACATATACAAGTTCAAAGAGATCACGAACGAAACTTATTACCTGAAAGAGGATCATGATAGATGGGTATTGAATCTGTTGCTTCGTAAAAGATAAAGGATCAACATGAATCTACTCAGATTCAAGTTCATGCGTCAACCTAAATCCACTCGAATTCATAACTATATGGATAAATAACTGCTGCTACATGCAAAGCTTTAAAAGCCAGTTGATGAATATAATGGATCATTTATAAATCCGGTTCCTAAGCCATTGTTTGGGGAAACACATACAATTTACAACTTACAAGCCCAAGGTGAGAACCATGAAGGATGATGCTTTACAAAGATGATGATAATGGTTAGCCAATAGCCACTGTCATTCTCCACTTATCATTACTGACTGAAATGGCACTCTCTTAATTTCCACTATGGTGGAATACTCCCTGCTCATCGGCTGTTTCCATGGCTCCCCATCCATCTGCAAAAATGCATCTCTCCATTCCCCTCCCCTTAACTCCAGTCGAATCGATGCCGCCTAAAACACCAAAGGAACAAAGTTCAGTCCATCCTAATCTTGTACTCCTACAGCATTATTTTAAACTAACTTCGACTTGTTACCATGAAAACTTCCTGGTTACAGTACCTGTGCGATGTGTTTTGCAGATATGAGTTCAACCATTACAAATGATGCATGCCATCCTTGCTTTAAGCCAAAAATTTCCAGAAGGCCATCATCAACATGGGCCTCAACAAAGCCTCTCTGAAAAAAAAAACAATGAAAATTGAGGCCAATTGTTTTAGAATTGGAACTCAATCAAGCTCCTCCATTATCGTAAGTCGGACATTGATCCATACAAAGAGTATTATCAAGTAATCTGAAGAAAATGTACCATACTTTTTCCAAATACTCTGGCTTTAGATTCCCCCATGGGTTTCGTCCACTTCCATAACTATGAAGATTTAGAGCAACAATGGCTCTCACACTAAAAGAAAATAACATACTATTAGAGAGTGATAAATCATAAGCCTAGCAACAATTTCCAATACAGTTTGTTATGTATAAGCTTCATTAAAAGAAATATTTATGGATATACTAAAAAATGATTGATTAGGGTGCTTATGCATCATAAGGCAAAAGTAAATGCATGAAATGTACCTTCCAGGTATTGTAATTGGCTCCCACTCTGAGCAGTTGGCCCTTTTAATGTGGATACTTAAAATGTTATTGAGTCCCCTGCATTTGAAAACATCTTAAGAATATATTTACTAGAAAAGGAACGTTTGTTCACAGCAAAACACCATTAACAAGAAAGAGAGTTTCTTCATAGAATTCATGGTTTACTTTCTCTCATAAAACAAATTCTATTAAAAGAACTTCTTGGTGTAAATGTAAACAAGCATTTCAAGACCACATGGATTACAACAACAATGATGTTTTACTAGTTTGAGAAATGTTTAAGACGCAAACAATGTGTTAAAGGCAGAAGAGACCGCCAAGGCACATAGACTTTGTATTAACAAGCACGAAAATAGATTTGCATGAGCAAAGCAATGTGCTGATATAATACAAATAATATAAATGGAACCCTTTAAGGTTTCGTATGAACACATATTATCAATTCCGAGTAGTGATTTAAAAAACATAAAAATAAAGGAACACTTCACAGAGGCACTCATCTTTCAAAACAATGTGCCTAACCATCAAGGGCTTATCTTAGGTAAATGCACCTTTCAGCATTATTCTAAGGAACAAGGAGGCAAGGATGCCTTAGATACACCTTCTCCATATGATTCAAACCTTAGCTGAGTGCTATTACATTTAAGGCACTTCATGTCTTGTGCCTCAGCACCATCTCCAAGGCCTTGGCTAAACTGTCTGAGGAACAATCACATCTTAAACAAATGCTAGTTACACACTAACATACCCATCATACATACAAATATACGTAGCATTTTAATTTAGAAATCGGAATATGTTCTTTATTGGATAAGGAACAGGCCAAAAAACTATCAGAATATCTAACCTTAAAGATGGATCACTCATGCAAGGTGTGAGAAACCAACCCTGACTGCAACTGTAACCGGAGTAGATAATCTGCCACAAAAGATGGACCAATTACAGTCTAATATTAGCTTTAGCAAAGCAAACCATTGACGGGAGCAGAGAAACTAATTTGAATTTCAAATGCTATCCCACACATGGAAGTTTAACTTTAGTGATATTAGTAATACATTTTGTGCAAATCAATGCTAACGGAAATAATAAGACAATCAAGTATTGCAGATATTAGTTCATAACATTATCAGTGGCGATGTTTGTGAGGGAATTACTATGAATGGATTTAAGTTACGAAAGAGGGGGAGCTGAGCCCTGAGCTTGGCTACTGTTTCTCAGATTACCTGTGTTATCGACGAATTCTACAGCAGTAGTTATATAAAAATTAAATTGTTAAATGATATTTTCCTGGACTTTGAAATTGGCAATATATATATATGTTTATACAATTTTCAAAAGAACTCTGGAACAACCTCTTTAAAAGAAATATATCAAGAGAAGAACATGTGTGGTCACAAGATATATAATATATATTCAGAAAAGATTTAATTTATACTAGCAAGACAAATCTCTTCCAATATATATACTGAGAGACGGACAGAGAGATTTAATTTATACAGGCAAGACGATAATTTTTACCCTCCTTTTGGCTATACCATACATAGTCACTAATATCATAACATGGCTATAATATGTAGTAATCCATATAGTTTGATAGATAGCAATATACCCTTATGCACTTCAAACTAAAAAAGCTACATTACAATATAATGTCAAGAGATTCAAGACAAAATGTTATTGTTCTTGCATTCAAATTTGAAAAACCGAGATCCGTATACCTTATTTGAAATAGGACCTTGTGCAAGGTAAGGTTTGTCATTCCGTAAATTATGGAATCCGTAAGCCACTTGTGCATCCATTCCTGAATGTAAAATGAAAACATAAAGATTTGTAAGAGCCCAAAAATGGTCATAATAAAAATACAAAAACACCATAAGCAAGAATGAGAACGGTGTTGCTCCCAGCAAGAAAAATTCATATATGATTTGAGAACTTTTCATGACTCCCAACTTTTTCTATACGTTGTTAATTTTTTTTTATAGGAATGGTAGGCCTCATTAAAAAACCAACTTCATGATTAATGGAACTTGAAGATAGTTCCTTAATCAGCGGAAGGAGGAAAATAGTGCCCTAGAATTCATTAACATCAAATAATTACATAATAATACAAGGTCTAATCTCCCTAAAGAGATAGAAAACCAAAAAGAAACAACCCTTAACAGAACATAATTATCAACCAATGCCAGCCTTAGCTAGGACGTCCGCCTCTATATTGGTTGTCCTATTAACCCATCTAATAAGACCTTCACAAACACTAAGCTTTTGAATAATGTCTTTAACAATTTGAACATAAACGACAAGACATAAAACAACATCCTTAACCCAGCCAACAGCCACCCTACTATCACTCTCGATAATCAACCGATCCTTAAACCTATGACAAATAGATTCATAAAAATCTAAACCCTTTAGGATAGCTTTCAATTCCATCAAAGTTGGAGGCCCCGGAGCAGCAACCTCTTTGAAGGAGCCAAGAATCGAACCAGACATGTCTTTTAGAACACCACCTAAACCACTCCTCTTCCAATCACTAGAAATAGCCGCATCCACATTAAGTTTAATAAAGCCCTTTAGAGGAGGGGACCAAGGAAACTTAGTTGAAATCCGATTAGAATAGGACGAGCAAGAATCCCCTAAGGAAGGGTCAACAATAAGAGCATCCTTGGAGATAGAAATCTGAGTTTCCTTAGCTAAAAACCATGAAGCAAGCCTGAACCTTGTTAGAAAGAAAATTTCTACTCAATCTAGCTTCCCTCCTTCAAACACTATAGAATTCATAGTTTTCCATATTGTCCATAAAACCACTCCAGGGATAATTGACCAATTTAGAGAGTTGGTCTTCAAGTCAGCCCATGCTAGTAGGAATCTTTTACCATCTTCATGAAAAACAGACTGCAAATTCCAGTAGCCCATGAATTTAGTCCATATTGGCCAAACAACCGAACATGAAAAGAATAAATGAGATGGTAACTCTTCTATTAGCTTACAAAAAGGACATAAAGTATCATTTATGCCCTGAACACCTCTCTTAACCAGAGCTGTCTTCACTGCCAGCTTCTTTAAGATCACTTGCCAAAGAAAAGTCTCCACTCTTGGAGGCAGCAAGCCCCTCCAAACAATAGTCTTCCAAAAATTAGCTTCCTCTGAATCAGAAGCACCCGAATAAGATAGATTAGCACATGATTTAACAGAGAAAACCCCGTCTCCAGTACCCTTCCAAAACAATCCATCAACAGAATCAGTTGAAATACAAAAATCCGAAATAACAACCATCAAATTGTCCATTGTTCAAATTCCCAGTCATTCAACTCCCTTCTCAACTGAACGTTCCAAAACCAGCCCCACGAGTTGTATTCCCCAAACTGAAATAATTTTCCAGTTTTGTTCACTGCAATAGAGAAAAGCCTAAGGAACACGACCATTAAAGGATGATCCAATGCCCAATTGTCTTGCCAAAACCGAATATTCCTCCCATTACCAATTTTATAGCTATATTTGCTTCTGATTATACAGCCCATCGAATCAGCTTTTAAATGATTACTCACCATAGATCTCCATATCCAAGAGTATTTAGGAGAAACATTATTGTCAAACTGCATTAAGGAAGAGTCCATTTTGTATTTGATGCAAAGCATTTCCCTCCAAATCGCCTTCCTCTCAATAGCAAACCTCCAAGCCCATTTTTCCAAGAGTGCCCTATTCATCACATTTAAATTAGGAATTCCCAAACCTCCTTCAATCTTTGGTTTACAAACATCGGACCAGCTCACCCAATGAATCTTTTTTTCCCCATCTCCACCACCCCATAAGAAATTTGACATAATAGAATTAAGGGTTTGTATACTGAAGCTGGAACCTTGAACATTGACAAAAAGTATGTGGGAAGTGATCATAGGACTGATTTAATTAGAACTAGAGGGACCAAGAGGGAGCCCACAGAATGTTGGAGTTTCTGTGTGGATCAAGAGGGTGTCCCAAATATTCTGAGGGAAAAGTACCCACTGAACATCCAATTGTAACTGCCCATTCCTTAATTTCCTCTTCATTCAAATTTACCCCAAACAATTTACACTTCTTCAAGTTCAATTGGAGTCCAGACATAATTTCAAACACTCCAAGCACCCTCTTCACATTCAAAATCTATTTTTTTCGACGCACCACAGAAAATTATAAGGTCATCAGCAAATTGAAGATGCGTTAAATTAAAATTTCTCTCCTCATTTCTAATGATCAAACCCAAAAAAAGCCCCTCTGAATCTGCCTTGAATATCAATAAATTCAAAAGTTCCCCGACTATATTGAACAATAAGGGAGACAAGAAACAACCTTGACGAAGACCCTTAGCCATTGGAAATTCCTCGGTTGGAACCCTATTCACCAAGATTGAAACAGTTGCTATTGTGATACACTTCGAAATCCAACCTATCCATCTAGAACCAAAGCCCATTTCCTTCATTATTCTGAACAAGATAGGCCAGTCAACTGTATCATATGCCTTCTTAAAATCAACTTTAAAAACACATCCTTTTAAACCATTCTTCCTCCAAAAGTCGATCCCTTCATTGGTTATAAGGGAGTAGTCCAAAATTTGTCGACCGGGGATAAAAGCGAATTGACATGGATTGATTAAATCTGAGATACAGCTCCTAAGTCTCCTCGACAAACATTTAGAGAGGATCTTGTATAAACCACCAACTAAGCCTATAGGTCTAAAATCATCTAGACCACCAATGCTTGAAATCTTTGGAATAAGAGTGATAAATGTATGATTTATTCCATATTCCCATTCCTTTCCCAAGTAAAAATAATGAAAAATTTCATAATATCTATCTTAAGGACCTTCCAAAACCTCTTGAAAAACCCCAAATTAAAGCCATCAGGGCCCGGAGCTTTGTTACTACCACAAGACTTCACAGTATCCCAAACTTCCTCCTCTGAAAATTCCTGCTCTAAGAACTTATTCTGATCCAAAGTAATTCTGGAAAAATCAAGTTTTAAGTCATCCATTTCTAAAGTAGATCGGTCATTGTAAATTTTAAAGAAATAATCCTTAACTATGGCCTTAATTGCAGTCGGGTCTTCTACTGTATCTCCTTTAAAATTTAGGGCAACCAGAGCATTCCTCTTATTCCTAACCGTAGCACAGGTATGAAAGTATTTAGTATTGCGATCCCCATCTTCAATCCACTTCGATCTTGAGTACTGAAACCAAATCTACTCCTGAATCTTGTGAAGTTTCCACGATTCTGCTATGTAATTATTCAACTCTGCTAATACCTCACTGTCGATAGCACCTTGCTTCTGCTGAATATCAACCTCTTCTTCAAAATTTTCTTCTCTAACTCAGAAATCAAGGCTCCTGGATACTTATCTCTCTTTCCAGCCCACTTCTTTATTGCATGTTTAGTACTCCTTAGAAGACTAAAAGACCTGCCTTCTTTTGATTTTTCTTACAACTCTGTAGAGAAGAAATAACCAGATCCTCAAAACCTTCCTCATCCATCAAGTAGTTGAAAAGTCTAAACGGTTTTGGACCCCAGTCCACACCTTTATTCACAAGAACTATAGCATTATGATCTGACAATGACCTTAGTAGAAGAGACTGAACAATGTCCGGAAACAGCGCCAAAAATTGACAATCAACCAAAAACGATCCAATCTTACAAAAGTGGGATTCTCTTGGTTATTACACCAAGTGAACCTACCCCCACTCATAGGAAGATCAATAAGACCCGTATGAAGAATAAACTCGTTAAAGATTTCCATTGAACTCCTGTTTTAACCTCTTCTCATCTGCTCATCTTCTTGTAGACATTGAAATCCCCTCCCACACAAACGGGATAACTCTGTCCACTAAGATAACTGCTTAATTCTTCAAAAAACCAGGTTTCTCCTCTTCCACTGCTGGACCGTAAACATTGATGAAACCACAACTGAAATTATTATTCCGAAATTTACCAAAAGTAGCTATAAATCTCCTGCTAATAAACTACCTCTCCAACTCAAAAATATTGTCGTCCCAACAGCACAATAGACCCCCTGCTGATCCAATTGAAGGGGATTCCAAAACTCCTTTTAGCTTATTAATCCCACTTCTTCTAAAAAAAGACCTCTGAAATTTCTCAGTCTTGGTTTCTTGCAGCTAAAGAAAAGTAGGATTTAAGCTAATGACTAAATTCAGAACAACCCTCTTTTTTTCATTTTCCCCAAACCCCTAACGTTCCATGAACATATTACTAATTTTGTCATCTTCATAAGGAAACAGGTACAAACTAAAACCTTCAATCAACCATACCTTGGTTAACCCCAATCAAGCCTTTCTCTAGAACTATAATTTTCTCCAAAAAGGCTTTTTTCCCTTCCTTAAAAGATACCCCCAGAAGCTTACTAACCTCCCAAGTTGCTAGAGCTTCTTCCATTAAAACCGAGAATGTTGAGGAGGAGGTTGTATCAATGCTCACCTGTTCAAGGGCTTCCCTTAACAGATTCCTTCTAGTTCTTCTAATTAGCAAACCAAATTTGGATCTTAAGCACTCACCTTCTGAAAAGTAACCTTCAATCTCCCTATTTACACTCCCAACCCCAATACCACTATAAATGGAAGGAAGAATACTCCCATCAGCAGTGAGCTCTGCTGATAAACTAAGTTGTTTTTTAGTACTGGAATCCACATCAAACTTTCCCTGACTAACTATGATTCCAACTGCTTCAGTTGAGAGGTTCAACAAATCCCCGTACCAATATCTTCTTTCCCTCAACCTTCTATAGACCCTTTTGCAACTGCTCAAACTTCTAGTTTCCAGCACATCACTCTCTGTTGTGATCTTTCTTCTAGATCAATGTAACTGTCTCCCCCTTGAGATGATTCCTAAATCAGTTGTAACCAATTCAACCGGTCTTAAGACTTCTTCTTCAGCCTCTATTTCTGCAGTAACCGACTTTTTTGCAATTGGGCTCTTCTCCAAAACTTTTAACATTTTACTGTTTTTTTTCTGATATGTTAAGGTTTTGAACCAATTCCCCAAACTTATTAATTGTAAATGCTGGCCCAAAAGTAAAACCCGAAAAGCCTTTTGACCCAGACATCCCAGAGTCTTCAGAATGGGCCTGAGATCCATCAGCCAAGTAATTTTGACTTCTAATCCCCAAACTTACAAACTCACCTACTTTTAAACTTCCAACATTTAGACTTTCTGACAAACCACCATTAATACCTTTCCTATCTAAGGAAAGTCTTGATAGTTGTCTGTCCTCACCAGCTCCTCCAGAAACATGAAAAACTCCCTGGTCATTCCAATTGTCCACTGACAGAAGATCTTTCTCTGCTGCAGATGCTTCACCTTCCCCACGATCTGACAACAATCTGCCTTCATCCTCCTCAGATATAATCTCCTCAAAAAATGCCCCACCGGAATCTTCCACCGAAAATTTACTGAAATATGAACTTGAATACTCACTTGCTGATCCGATCTTGATACTTACTTTGAATGATCTTCCATAAGATCCAAGAGTGATCACGTCTGGAACATCAAAGGGATTTGCCACCCTCAATAAAATTCTTGCCATTGTAAGGTCTTCTCTTTTCCTTGTACCATCGTGAATATCCACCATTGTGCCCCATCTACCTGCTATATTCTCGAAGAAAGGTTCATTCCAATATAACAAAGGAACCCCTATTAATTCTGCCATGCAAAAGCCATTAGAACTCCATCCTCATTCAGTAAAGGTTCCACTCGTTCAAACCATTGTTTTAGAACCTCTTCCTTGTTCCTCCATAAATGCAGCATCTTCTCATGAGATTTAAGAATTATAACACAAGAATTCCATACATAACCCCATCTGGCAATTTGGTCATCATAGCCTTCTTTTAATAAGGAATTCCGAATAAACTCAACCTAAAAAGAGTATTTGATAATCCCTGTTAAAGATCTCTTAACCCAGTTGGCACTTTCTGATGGAATATGCATTTCCAAAATATTTTTCTTGACATTCCTCCTCTGAAGATCCTCGGAAAATAGTTCTTTGTTCCCCCTTGCCTATTGGACATCAGAGCATCCCTATAAGTTCTGTCGTACCTTCTGCTTCTGTTGAAATTTTCTACTTCTCTTGATTTTGAGGAATCTGCATTATTCTGACTAGAAACCTTGTTTGAAGAAATATGCATCCCCCCTGACCTTGGACGCCCGTCCTTAAATTTGGTAGGACTAACTGAGATCTTCCTTCCATCAATCAAAATATCGTTTAACTCGTCAACAGCCCTTTTTAAATCTTCCTCGCTCTTAAAATGTACAAAAGCAAAGGTGGAAAATTTGTACTTTGGATTTCTTTTTTGTTTGGGAATAAAGACTCTCATAACAGGACCATGGACTAAGAATATTTCTCTTAACGTACGACGAGAAACCCTTCTACTAAGATTGTCCCTTCTTGAATATTTTTGCGATTGTAAAAGGAAAATAAAATTTGGATGTTTTATAAGTTAAAATTTATTTTAATAAAGCAAAGGAATCTTTATTAAACTTTAATTATCCATGGACTCTATTAGGGATTTGATTCAGAATGCTACCACTGTATTTTGTTTCTCTTATAATAAACTTGCTAGTCTTGATGTTAGCTAGCATGCTGATGATTACGAAGGTTCTAAGATTAAAATGCAACTACCTACTAAGTGTATTTCCACATGCAAGAAATTAGAAGAACCAAGATCTTAAAGTTAAACCGGTGTACTATACCTACGCTAAAGTAATTATAGAATACTCCTTGATAGTAGTTGACTTTGTCTGGAACATGCCCTTCAATCTTCAAAGTCTGCAGTCAAACAAGAATTTCCCCACTTGAATTTGAAATTCCAAATCATATAAATAACAATTAGAATAAATCTTCTTTTTAAAAGAAAATACACACATTAATGTGCCATGTCTAATTAATCAGATGGTAGGCCACAATGAATGCTAAGAAACAAATAGATATACAATGCCGCAGTTCATTTGAGAATGTGTTATGTTGGATTCAACTATTAAAGCACATTTTGACCTATTACCTAAAATGTAAACTCTTTTCAAAACTTGTCTCTACAATGTAATCTGCAATGAAGAGAGAGCGGAACACAATTTTTTACACAATTACCTCACTACAAGTTATTATCATCTAACTTGGTGAATTGCATCAATGCCAAATTAAAGAACTTAATGGCCACAGGTCATAAACTACAAAACTTTATTAATCCATAAAAGACTCAATAAAGCATCAATGTTCACAAGTTCAAAACTAGCCACACAATAGAAGTTGATTGAGTAAAATGGAGGATTTAGAGCCGAGAATTTCACTACCTGATCAACATCACACTCTTCAGTAGCCTTCAAAGAATGAGGAGGATCGACAACTTCTCCGCCAGGCATTTGCACCACAGTATGCCAACTACATCATCAAAGAAACAATTACCGATATAACATAACCACAAAGTGGGATTTATACAACGAATACGTCTTATCCAAACTCATTTTTGAAGCTAGGAAACTAAAACATACAGAGTCCTCGATATAGGATTATGAAACTTATAAAACAAAAGGTAATAAGTACTCTAGTAAAACATAGAACTAGATGTCTAGTTACCTATCTAAATGGCAAACTGGACCAGTAGTAGCTCTCTGCAAAGTTCTTTTAATAGCTGATTTCCAGGAAAAAGGAAATGAACCTCCCTGCAGTAACATTCAGAGAATGAGACAACGAAAGAAGAGAAGAAAAACAGTAGACAACATCAAATTTAAAAAAGGTATCTTACCCAACCAAAACTTCTAGACAAGTCATTGCCAGTACCAAGTGGAATGATAGCTACGGGAGGAACCGGCAACCGACCCTCTTGATGAAGCTCTCCAAGACATCCAAGCACCCAACCAACTGTACCATCACCACCAGCAACCTGCCCATTCATCAGAGTCTTAAACCATCAGCTTGGAATGTTTTGTTTAAGTTAACTTCGTTATTTATTTTACTCTTCGTAGAGAATCGCTAAAAGCCAAATCATAGTTGATCAAACATGAAACCCAATACTATTAGTTCTGTATAAAGCAAATCATGTACTTTCTTCTTACAAGAAAAGTTATAGTTATGAAATTTTATCTTTAAAAAATTATTTACTTTTATATCTAAAATAGTCTCCCTTTTTAACTCTTTCTGAAGTTTAAAAATAAAATCCGAAAACGAAAACCAAACTGTAACTAAACTAAAAACATTAAAAATACAAATAAGAGAAAAAAGAGAATAGTGAAGACAAGTTTGGTTGAATAAAAATCAAGTAGAAACATACCACAACTCTGATGTTCATCCTTGTCTCTTTGGCACAAGCGTCTCCACTTTCAGCCCACTTCTCAAGGCAAGCCAGTCCGTACCGTACAAATTCACGCGGTTTCACATCATGGAGGTCAAACACCTGAATATCCAAATTAGAAGTTCTTTAAAAACTAAGGCAACCGAAATTCAAAAACATACACATAAAACGGGAGAAAAGAAGTATTACCTGTTCTTCGCTGATTAAGTTCTGGAGACGTTCTTTAAGGACGGGGCCATGGCGGCCGCCGCTCTTGGAATTAATAAAAACGACGATAGGGGTTTCACAATAGGGATCATCGTCGGAGCGAGGCATTTGGAAATGCTGGTCACCGCCGTTGACGTCTTGTTTTCTAATGGAATCGAGTACAGCTAAGCGTAGATATTGAGGCATCGCAAGCCTCGCGAAATCTTGCTTCTCGGCCATAAACGTTGTGAAATTCGAAAAGCCGCAGCCCATGGTCGCCGTCTCCCTCGAGATAATACGCGTACCGGTCCGTGACGTCGAAGAATCCCCGGCCGACGTTGGGTTATCCATAACTTTTTCCATAAATTTCGAACTTTATTTTATAAAACATAAGCAAAATATAAGACTGAAAGGCGTATATGAAACATTTCAAGATCTGAGTGCCCGAGAAGAAGGGAGGAAAGGGAGAGTTTTTAATTTTTTTTTTTTTGAAAATTGAAAAGCGTTGTAGTTGTTAAGATGCCTTATATTAAAAAGGAAATTATAATTAAATATTAAATTAATGCTAATAAAGTTGATTAGAAGATTTGTTTCATTTGTTAAAACGAAAATAACCTTACCTAGAGGGAGTAGTAAATTACGAAACTGCCGGCTACGATTGTTGATGGTTTTCTGGCGGGCAGTTCATGTTCGACTATATTTGACTCGGGTTTTATAGGAATAAAATATATAACGAGATTAGACCTTACAACACATGGGGATGAGATCAACGATAATGATCGGAATTGCATGTGCGCCACATAAGATTCTCTCTCCCAAAGCTTAGAATATGCGTTCTAAGAAGAAGAAAAAAACTTAGAATCTGCCCTCACGAACACTTCGAAACATTTTTTTTCAGTTAATCACTCAGTTAATTTTAAGTTTGTTATGTTAAAGGTTAATAATTGTTTTAAAGATTAATTATCTGTTAATTCGATTCAAAATCGGTTAATTAACCAAATTAACTGAAATTTTTAAATTTTTATTATATTATTTATATATTAATAGTTTTAGGAGTGTTTAAATTTCGGTTTACATCGAATTAATTGACCGAATTAATTGAATTAGCTGAAAAAATTAAATATTTCATATATATAATACATATTATTTAAAATATCGGTTAATTCAATTAATCGATCGATTAACAGAACTCTTTTCGATTCGATTAATTATTTTTGGAAAAAAATTAGTTCGATTAACAGTTAAAGCAAAAAAAAATCGATTAATGAATTTTTGAAAGTTTGGTTCGGTCAATTAACCGAACCGACCGATTGAACACTCCCACTTTGGAATCCACACAAATGCATGAGCTCAACAAATTTTAGGTCTGGATTGGTCACTTGACTTTTAGATATATGCACTTTAGTCATTGAAATAAAAAAAAATATTTCGACTACTCAACCATTAACATTAACATGTTCAAAAATATTTTAAAAGGTGGATATATATATTAACTAGATACAATTTTATAATTGTGTAAGAAAACAAATGAAATTTGAGGAAGTACACAAATAGCAAAATGGATAACTGACAGAAGAAAATTTAAATTTCACGGTAGGCACTTACAAACCTAAGGGTACGTTTGGTTCATGGAAAAGATCGTTACCAAGGGGAGTAATCTTTTCTAGAATTATATTCGCATGTTTGGTTCGCGAAAAAAATCATTTCTAGTTAATAACTTATTAAGAGTAGTAGCATTTTCTCATTAAAATGGTGGAAATGTCATTACCTCCTAATTCTTAGGTAATGAATAATTCTCACCACTTTGGACATAGGGATGGCAATGGGTCGGGGTTTTTGTCAACTAGAACATGATTTAACCTAAAAATTTTATAACCTCCACTAGAATCGACCCGACCTGAAAAATATATATTCTCCACCCGACTCCGACCCAACTCGAAATTTTAGAGTATAAATTCGACACAACCCAACCTTGCTCCTTAAAAATCCGACCCAGACCTGATTTTTTTAAAATCTGACCCTATCAGGTCGGGTCGAGTCGAGTCGGAACACGTAATATTCGAGTTAAATTATCATCCCTATTTGGACACAAATATCCATAAAATAATGAATTCTTTTCATATGGACCTTTCTCGATTCTTATTGTTCATTTTTTTACTCAAAATTATAAATTTAATAATAATAATAATAATATAAAAAGAGTTCAACTTAATAAAATATTAATAAATTTGATTAGTTGATTATTTCATATTTTTAATATTTTTATATTAATCATTTTATAATTTTATCAGGTGAAAATGTTATTATTGTATAAAAATATAATTATTTAAAATAATATTTAATTTTGAGTTATTAAAAAGTAGATCTTATATATTGAAAAATAATATATTTATCTACTTGAGACTACAATATTATTTTTTATCTTATATTATATTTTATATAAATAAACATGATACCTATGAAAATTATTTAAAAGTATAAGTTTGATATACTAATTATATTAAATTATATGTTAAATATATTTTTTTCTTTAAACTTGGATAGTGTAACAATTAAAATATTTTTATGAATTTTCATTCAAATATTTGTAATTTAATATCAAAGTTTAACTTGTTAAGAAAACATATATCACAAGGATAATTTGGTAAAACATGCATACAAGTAATTTTATATTCATCCAACCAAACACTGTAATCTTGCATTCACGCGAAATAAACCAAACAAGATAATACAACATTCACAAAGTAATGTTACATTCCAGTACTTTATTCCAAAAAGTAATGTTACATTATGTAAACCAAATACCTTAATTATAATGTGAATTTCTCATTGATCATTGAAGCATTGATGGTAATTGATGTGTCACCACGTATCATCTTTCTTAATAAATTAATGTCATTCAATAAAATGAGTAATATATTTCATTATCTTTTAGATAAGAAAATGATGAAAAAAATAATCTTGGAAGGGTGAGATTCAAACTTAAGACCATGAATCAACTTTTTAATTGGATAAATTACACGTTTATTCACTGAAATTTATTTTCTATCCTATTTTACTCACCGTACTTTTTATTTTTTCAATTTACTCACTAAACTTTAGATATTGAATTTTTTTGCCACTCAACCGTTAACTTTATAACACTGTTATGATGTGGCTTATTTTAATATTAAAACTAATCACAATTGTTTATATTTAATATAATAAATATTAACACATAAATTTTATTTTTAGGTTCAAATTCCCTAACTAACGTGAAAAGGAAATTTGACTATAGAAGAAGAACATCTCCGCTCCACCGGTTAGTCCTTTCTCCGATGAAAGTACTGCTGCTATGTTCCATACTTCCTTTAGTTCACTTTCCTTTAAAGTCACCATCCCACGTAAAGATGTTATTGTAATTGAAGGTTTCGGTAATGTGTGCAAGGTAGAATTGAATGATGGCACAAAAGTTGCTGTCAAAGTGGAAATCCATAGTCTCAGCAAGGACTTGTTGAGTTTCGGACTGAAATTGAGATGTTGTCCCAGTTTCGACACCGCCATTTGATTTCGACACAGCTGGTGAAGTCTTAAGGGAGGTAACTTTGTGTGAGACAAAAAATCCTGTTTGTGTTTTATACTGCAGAGTTGAGACACTAGTTTTCAAAGTTATTTGGTTCTAAAATGGAACCGCATAATGTGTAATGAGCTCTTTCATGCACAACAAGTGAGCTTTAGGAAATTGAATGAGATTCGTGGGAATGGACATTAACGGTGAAGCTCACAGTTGAAGTAAGATGGTGACATTCAACTCATAACTGTCGTCCATGTGGGGAACGGTCATGTCTGTCTTCGTCGACTGTATCCTTTGCCCGAGATGGGGGACAAAGAAGAAGTTGTGATGGTGGTCGCAATAGCTACTACGACGGAGGCAACCGCAGTAAACTAAGATGGCAACGTGGAATTGTAAATTGTGAGCTATGGTTCTTCTTTCTTTTTCTCTTCCTGTTTTTTAATAATCTCTCCAATGTCTTGGCCACGCTCGGGGTGTTAACACCGGTACCGGTGCATGCCCGACCTCCAATGAATAAAGGTTGAATAGTTGTTTCTGGATATGTTTTTTGGAGAGAGGCGATGAAGATGACAAAGACGAGAGGTTGCCATGGATGCTTTCCTTTCTTTCCCTTTCACAGTAAATTTTTATGGTTAAGGATTTTGACATAAATATTAATTCTTATTTTATTAAATATAAAACTTACGTGGCTGATTTTAATTTTATAATAAACCACATCAATGTCTAAAGTTTAGTGAGCAAATTGAAAAAAAATTAAAAATACGATAAGTAAAATAGGAGAGAGAGTAAATTTCATTGAATAAGTATGTAATTTACCCTTTTTAATTTCATATATTCTTGGAAAAATAAGGATTCCTATAAAATGACATCAACTCTAGCCTGCAATATTCATAATTTATATAAAACAAACAAACAAACGCATAGGGGCATTGTTGGCACCACCAAACTCAAAAGCAGATGATTCAGATTGAAGTTACCCGAAATGGCTGAAGCAACAGCTCAAGGGAGTAGTGATGCACAACATCAGAGAAACCCGTGGATCTAACAAGAACTTGATGTGTTTTGTTGAATTGTTAAATGAATAGATGGATAAATATAGTAAGAAAGATCTTGTTGAAAGTCCAATTGGTGATTCAATTCATTGTTTACTAATGTATATTTAATTGTAGAACACTTAAACAATATTTGAAGTATGTAGTTAAAATTATCAATTGACACATCTTTTTTATCTCAAGTTGCGGGTTCATCATCACACGTTAGGAAATATTAGTATCACTTATGATGATTATTTTGTCCGAATTCGATGGATTTTGATTCGATTTAATCTGATTGGTTCAATTTTTTATTTTAAAAATTTGGATTCGAGTTGAATCAAATTTTTTTATAAGTGAAGTCGGGTTCAGATTTAAGTCGAAAAAATTTGACTCAACATAATATTATAATTATCCCTTATACATATTCAAGTGAGATCAAGTCAGAAATGAATTTTATCTAAAAAATTGAATCGAATTTTGAATAAGGCGAGACCCGATCTGACCCGTGATCATCTCTTATATTACCACAATATAAATTATTTAATCATAACACAAAATTATATTAAAAATATTTACCCCTTACTAGCAGTAGATGGATTTAGATTGAAATATTTTAATAATTAAGGAAACCAAAAATATTTACCCCTTACTAGCAATAGATGGATTTAGATTGAAATATTTTAATAATTAAGGAAACCCCATTGGCGCTCTTTGAATGGGAAGGTAAGATCCACGCACTTAATGGCCGTTGATTCCGTTGCTGGCCCACCAAACCTGGAGCCGAAGGGTCAAATGCAAAGCCCCCCATTTTTGAAAGCAATATGAGAAATGTCTTTCTAGAACTAAGACTGGAATTTCAAGTGTTGTTTTCATGGGTATGTGAGGTTAATTCATTTAATGGAATTATGCTTGATGACTTTTTTCACAAATTAGAATATGACAATTTGTCCAATGTGCATGAAAATATCAGCTTCTGCTTTAAAGATTTTTTGTTTAAGGTAATTAATAATTATAAAAATATGCTAAATTATTTAATAAATGATAGCATATATACATTTGAAAAGTTATACATCTAATTAGGGGCGTTCAAAAATACCCGACCCGGTTGACTCGACTCGTCAACCCGCTGACCCGAAACTAAAAAATTCGGATAATTCTTTAAAAAAAATGCTCGACCGGGCCCGATACCCAACCCATGATTTTTTTCAGGTAGTTGGGTCAGGTCTGTGTCGAAATGTTTTATAAGCGGACACCCAATTTGTCCCGGTAGTTTTAATATATATATTTAATTTAAATTATATTTTTTATTTTATGTTACTTAATATTTTTAGCTTCTTTATTAGATTTAAATCCCTAAATTTTTTTTAGGTTTGTATTATGTACTTTTAAGTTTTGAATTTTTCAAAAAGTCTTTATTAATTTGTCAATATGGGATTCGAAAGAAAAACATGATCGATTTTAATATTTTTAATGTTTTCTTCAAACTAAATTCAAATCACTAATTTTGTGTATGAATTATATATTATAAACTTTTAAATGTTTATGTATTTCCTATTTGACTTTTTTTAAAAATAAATTACACACATATATATATATATATGAACAATGTACACGTGACCTGAAAATGCGGGTACCCGAACTTAACAGATCATGTCACGAGTCGACAAATACTTGAAGAATTTTCGGATACCCGATTTTGAAACCCCTAACATATATGTAGCTTTCATTCTTATGTTACCATTAAATTTAGGTGTGACTATTCGATCAAGTCGAGTTGATTCGACTTGAGTTGTTTGAATTTCTTTTAAAATTTATTATTGTTAGAAAAGAGGATGAATTACATTTGATGAATTGGATTTTTATATTAAATTCAAATTCCTTTTAAATATTATAAATTAAAAGATATTATTTAATTTAAAAATTATTAGGATAATTACTCTTTCAATATGTCAATTTAAAAAGGTATTTGTTATCCTTTTAACTTTTGATATTAAAGATAATTATATACTTTTGTATATTTCAAATTAAAATAATATACTTAAGTTTGAATGGTAAAAGGAGTGCATATATTATTAATATTTCAAATATAAAAGATATATTTATCTATTTATTTTTTTATATTAAAAGATATCTAGTTGGAGTAAAACTCTCTTGAAAATTTCTTATAAATAGTGAGTTAATCTGCTAGGTTAAACACAAGTTACAAGTTTTTTTTTTCAATTTTTACAAGTTGAACTTTGAATAAGTTTCCATCTCAGATTTCAATAACTTCTCTTATCTAGGAAAAGTTTTCTCTTCCACTAGTTTTCTAGTGATAGTCGAAGGCAAGGATAGTTCGTAATCTCTGTAAATGTGCTATTGTAGCTGATCATAAGTTTTTGTATCCTGGGAGACAGACGACTAACAAACTCGAGCACCAAAGTAGTGGCCGAAAATCTGTCTTAGGAAACTGTGTAGCAAAAGGCTTCAACTGTTTCCGATCACAAGATTAAAGTTAAAGAGTATTATATCTTCCATTTGTTCTCTTTTATTTTTAAAGAAAATTAATTTATTTATTTTATTTTTCTCTGACTCAAATTTCATCTCGGATTGTTACTTCGGTTAACAATCTTAAGGTATATTAATTCATCTTCTACCTTTTCTTAATCTGAGATAATTCAGAATTGTGAGAAAAACGAGATAGTAAACAAATTTGTTTCGAGATTTATTCTGCAATCTTAATGGGCTTACTAAATCTCAAAGTGGACAAATATGTATAATAGAGATTGTCGTGAAAGTAACTTTGGTTACTGATTTGGTTTCAGAATATTGATTATGTCCGATAACAAAATAAAAATAAACAAGAATTAATTTTCTGTTTATTGGAATCTTTGACTTCGTATTTCAAATCAATTAAGATTTAATTTTGTCGCGTGACAAAATTATTTGATTTATATTAATAGAAATCGTTGTAAAGTAACAACTCTTTTACTGATTTGTTTCAAAATTTTAGTTCATGACTAAATTATGTTGATTGAATAAATCAAAATTTAATTTTGGTTTATTGTTGGAATTATTAATTTAGCGTTAAATGAAATAATGAGTAATATCAGTGATTCACCTAATTTGTATTTGGAACGTTAGTTCATACTTAAAGTTCGAATTAAAAATCAACGGTTTTGATGGTTGTAAGCAACAACGAGAAACTTGTAAAATTATAAGGATAGAATTTCACGATATGACAACATAAGATGTTTTATTTGGTCATTGATAACTCTCCAAAATAGTTATCTTTAGGAGCACTTTTAGCCTAAGTTTAGTCTGATCTTAAGCATTTTAGAGCATTTTAGGATTAGTTTTAATTAGTTCTTATGATTGTTCATGTTTATCTTTTGTGGGTTGCTTTGAGCTAAAAATGAATTTTAACGCTGAAATTGTGCACTGACGTTGTAGCATTGCAGGAAATATTGTGTAACATCCTATGGAAGCTGATGATGATGTTGTGTCATTTCAATGCTATGGAGCATCCCAATGCTGTGGAGCATCGGTGACTCAGCTATCAAAAGGGCTAGATCCTATCTGAAACATGGAAACAAGCCATTGGAGGATCTGATTTCCTCTTCACATATAAATAGAGTATCAGCCTGCTCATTTAAGGAACACACACCGAGTACATCACATTTCAAGAAAAAATCTATACCTCTGCCACCATTTTCTTCACCGATGGGAGCCTAAGCCTTATTCTATGGATTACTGCAGTAGAAAGGGAGCTTGCCGAGTAGCATCGGTCATCAGCATATAACTGTTCGAGCATTTCATCAAGAGAAGGGAGTGTATGAATATACTTAAATTTGTATTGGATGATATTTTGGATTTATGGTTTTATGCTACTATGATTATGTTTTTAGGATCTTGGATAAGTAGATTATGAGTAGAAAGATTTGTTATCAATGAATGGTTATTTTAAATGCTTCTAGAAATAGATTCGTTTAACTTACCATCTACTTTTGATAACCTAGTTGATGCTGAGTAGCATTGTGTATATTGAAAAGAAGACAACCTAGTATTAGCCTTGTTAAAATGTTGGATCTTTGATTTATGAAAGTGATTAGAGTAATTCAATAGGTTTTAATCATTGCTAATAGCATAGAAATCATATCCATTGTTTGTTTGAAACTTTAATCCCTTAATACTTCCAATTTTCATTTGATAGTTGACTTGTCGCTCTCTGTAATGTTGTAGCATTAACTGGAGTTTTACATTTTGATTTTTTTCTCATCGTAAAGCAATCAATCAACATTTATCTGTTTTTAAACTCTATTGAACACCATCTGCTCTCTATGGGATCGATAATCGTAACTTAATCGTTATCACTTTTTTACTTGAATTTTGAAACGTGCACTTGTACTATTGCTATAACAGTTTACACATCATCAAGTTTTTGGAACCATTAATGGGGAACATCAATTTGATTTAGAGTTTTATTTTATTTTGCTTTTGTTTTTATTTTTTAGGTACTTGTTAGTTTTCAGTTGTTAGTTTATTTCCAGAAGCGGTGATGAGTTAGAGCTATTTTTTCTAGAGATAAAATGTACTTTCTGTTAACGTCGAAGAGAAGATGCATTGAATCAAGCAAACATGAATGTTGTGAATAATAACAATGCTTTACCTCCAATGCCACATGGGGAGAATAAAGATTTGCCAGCTAGTTAACCAAATCAATATGTTGACGATCGGAATCGCCCAATTCGCGAGCATGTGGTACCAACTTTGGATGATTTGCATCCGGGTTTTGCGAGGCTAGTGGTCAGTGCTGCAAACTTTGAATTAAATCATGTCATGTTTCAGATGCTGTAATCTATCAGACAATATGGAGGAAGTATTACAAAGATCCTAGAGTCCATTTAAGAGCTTTTACGGAGGTTTGTGATTCGTTTATACAACACGAAGTTCCAGAGGAGGCTCTGAAGTTGAAACTATTTCCCTACTTGTTGATAGAAAAAGGTCGAGGTTGCTTAAGTTCATTACCACCTAGGGCTATAGCATCTTGGAATGAATTAGCCCATAAATTCTTGTTGCGTTTCAACCCGCCGAACATGAATGCTAAGCTGCAAAACAATCTGACTTCATTCAAGCAAATTAAGGATGAAAGTTTGTATGAGGCTTAGGAGAGATTCAAAGAATTCCTAAGGAAATGTCCTATGCATGGATTTCTGCATTGGACTCTAATGGAGATGTTCTACAATGGTTTAAACATACACACTCGTATGGTTGTCGACGCTTCAGCAAATGGAGCTTTGCTAGATAAATCATACAATGAAGCATATGAAATACTATAAAGGATTCCAACTAATGATTTCCAATATCCTAATACAAGAAATATGTTTGGCTGTTGAAATGCTATAATAATCGATTATGAAGCTTTCAACTCTATGGCATCATAGATCTCAACCTTGAAAGAAATGGAAAAGAAACTGCAGCAACCAAGAGAAATACATGAAGTAAAAGCTACATCTCCCATTACTCGTGTGTATTGTGGTGAAGAGCACAACTTTGATGAATGCCCTCAAAATCTATAATCTGTCTACTACGTGAAGAGTTATCAAATAATTGACAATGCTTTTGGCAACACATACAATGCAAATTTCAGAAGTAATCCAAATCTCTCTTGGAAAAGTCAGAAAGTTTCCAACCCACAACATTTACAACAATAACAATATCAACAACATCAACAATATCAGCCTTATAATCATCAGAACATGATGCTACAACGACAAGCACAATATCCTGTAGCTCAGCCACAATAAAGATAGAATTATCAAGGCCATTATTTAAATCAAACTTCTTATTTTTCATCTCTTGAAGCTTTAATGAAATAATATATGGCTAATCAATCTGCTTCTTTAAGAGCTTTAAAAAATTAAGTTGGTTAGCTAGAAAATGCCTTGAGTGATAGACAGCAAGGAACGCTTCCCAGAGACACTAAAAATCTGAAGAACAATGGGAAATAACATTGTAAAGCCATCACCACCAGAAGTAGAATAAGAATTGGAGAGCCAGTGGGAGAACCTAGAAAAAAAAGACGAGGATGCTCCAAAGAATGGTAAAGGAAAAATCAAAGAAGTTGAGCCTTAGCTACCTACTGTTCTCTTTACAGCATCAGATGCATGCCAATGTAGTAATTCAGAGCCATTACCGATAGTGACACCTGCTAAGTATGATGCTCCACTAATTTCAATACTGCAGCCACAATAACAGAAATTGCCTCCAATTTTCCATAATGCTTTAAAAAGATAAAGGAGGAACAACAATATAAAGTATTCATTGATGTACTTCGCCAACTTACCATCAATATTTTGTTGATCGATGCGTTAGAGAAAAACTCAAACTACTTCAAATTTATGAAAGAAGTGCTATCAAAGATGAATTTAAAACTATCACTCTGCTAGAGGTTGCATTGCCATGGCTACAAGTCAATTACCACTAAAACTTAAAGATCCAGGGAGTTTCACTATTCTATACAATATTGGTGATACATTTGTAGGTAAAGCTTTATGTGATTTAGGTGCTAGCATAAATCTAATGCCTTTATCCATTTTTAGGATATTTGGAAGAGGTAAAGTAAGGCCAACTACTGTCACGCTATAAGTTGCTGGTCGCTCCACTGTGCAACTGAGTGGCATTGTGCAAAATATGCTTGTGTGAATAGATAAGTTTATTTTTCCCACCAACTTTATCATTTTGGATTGTGAAGCCGATAAGAAATTTTCTATAATTCTTGGACACCCATTCCTTACTACAGGGTGAGCCTTAATTGATGTTGAAAAGGGATAATTAACTATGCATTTAAATGATGAGCATTTTACCTTTAACGTGTTAAATAATGTTTTTTAGTTGAGTACTAATACTAACTATTTTTCACTTGATGTGAATGATATTTTTTTCCAGGAGCATCTTGACGAATGCTACAACACTGAAGAAGCTATTGATGATTTTGTAGAAATTGAGGAGACTACAAACAATGAATGTTGCATCAATTATCTATAGAAGTACGAATCTCTGGTTATGCCTGAGTGTGTTCCAAGTGCACCAAAGCCCTCTGTCGAAGAGCATCCAAAGCTGGAATTGAAACTGTTGCTAGAGCATTTGGAGTAATCTTATCTTAGAGATAATGAGACTTTGTAGTCATTATTACTGCGTAGCTAACAATAGTATAGAAGGAAAAATTAATTGCTATGCTGCAACAATATAAGAAAGCCATCGGTTAGAGCATTGCTGACATAAAGGGCATTAGTCCTTCACTTTATATGTATAAGATTTTGTTAGAAGACCCTATTAGTAGCTCAATTCAACATAAATGCCAATTGAATCCAATCATGAAGGAGGTAATTTGAAAGGAGATCATTAAATGGTTGGATGTTGGAATCATTTACCCAATTTCGAATAGCAAGTGGGTCAAACCTGTGTAGTATGTTCCAAAGAAAAGTGTCATTACTATAGTGACCAATGAAAAACATGAGTTAGTGCCAATAAGAACCACTACTAGCTGGAGGATATATATGGATTAGAGGAAGCTCAATAAAGCTACAAGGAAAGATCACTTCCCATTGCTATTCATAGATCAAATTATGGACCACCTTGTTAGTAATTCTTTCGAATGGGTGTAGTGGATACAATCAGATTGTTATTGCACTAAAGGATCAGGAGAAAATAACGTTCACATGCCCTTATAGCACCTTTTCTTTTAGACATATATCGTTTAGCCTGTGTTGTTGAATTAATCGATTGACTGAATTGGCCAAGAGGGGGTGAATTGGCAATAAAAATTTAGATGGAAGCTTTTGCAAAAAATTGAAAGAAATTACAGCGATTTAGAATGGTTCGACTTTATCAACCAAAGTCTACGTCCACTACCTTAGCTATCCACACTAAGGATTTTTCAACAAATTCACTAATTTGTTCATTCTTTTGAGGCCAAAGAGATAACCTTAAAACTCCCTCAAGAATATACCCCAATTCTTGAGAACACTCTTTTCTCAAAGAGAAATACAAATTTGCAAACTTACAAGAAAAACCTCACAAGGCAAATATGTTTGCACAATTCTAGAACAAAGAAAGAACACTCAAGAATAATACAATTGAGCACAATAAGTGTTCTTGAAAGCAAAATGAATATTGAATGAAAAATAGGCTTGAAATGCTCAAACTTGGGTTTGATGTTTTCTCTTTGATTCTCTCTTGATTCTAATTGCTTGATGTTTCTTGTTGTTGATCAATGGCTTCTAAGCTTGCTTAAATACACCTTGAATCACTTCTGAATGTTGGGGATGATTAGAGAAAATAATATAGCCGTTTTAGTGTGAAAACAATTAATAAAACATTTTGGAGCGTGAGGGAATCGGTACCCCCTATGGGGAATCGGTTCCCTAAGTGTAAAATTCAAATATTTCGACCGTTATACAAGGGGGAATCGGTACCCCCTGGGGGGGAATCGGTTCCCTCCGAGCATACTGGAATTCTCGGAGCCAAACCATTCAGGGGGAATCGGTACCCCCTTGGGGGGGAATCGGTTCCCTCTGAGCAATCTGTAATTTTTGGCTTTGAAATGATTCAAAATACTTTGTAAAATTATTTTGAAATTGTTTTAAGATTAAAAGTTAATTTTACACTTGAGTAAAGATTAAAAATGATCTTTAAAAGATTTGGAGTAATGTTTTGATATTCGAATAGTTATATCGAATATACTTAGAAAATCATTTGGAAAAACTTAAAATTCATTTAACTTAATTTGTTATATCGAAATATCAAAATGTTTTCAATAATCTCCCCCTTTTTGATATAACAAAACATTTTAGTAATTTTAAGATTTTGAGATTTTGAAATCAAGTTTTGAAATTACTCCCCCTTACTTTAACACTAACACTTCTCCCATTTATCATTTAAAAAAACATTTAACACTTCTCCCTTTTTGTTAAATCAAAAAGACATTTTAAAGAATTAAACAAGGTTTTGAAATCATTTAGCCAATTGATTATATTTTAAGCTGCTAAGATCGCAAGCAAGAGAAACGTTAGCCATTAGTTTCATAATCAATATTCATAGTTAATGTGAAATGGCAAAATTGGTCATATATCTAATCATGAAATAAATGATGCAATAATGAATAAATTTAATCACACCAAATAGATAATTTCTAACCATTCATAAATCCAAACAAATTCAAAGTCAATCAATCCACAAATTCAAACATTCCAAAATATTCAAAATGTTAAAACAATAAGTTTGGAGTTCAAAGCAAAACAAAGAATCACATATCAGGATCAGGAGGAGGAAAACGAGCTCGCATAGAGGCCATTTCGTGAGTAAGGTCATTAATACGCGCGTTGGTTGCTTCGTTGTTTGCACGCATCTCCCAAAAATTTCTAATTGTTGAGCTCCCATTGTGGATAAGTGGGACTCTATAGAAGTAAAGCACGAATCCATCGTAGCATATCGGAAATCAAATGTCTCCATAAAGGATTGAAAATATGGAGGCATTTGATGCGTTTGTTGTGCTTGCTCCTCGAGCTGCTCAGGCTCATCTTCGGCTTCATCGATGTCTCGCATTAATTGCTCAAGCTCGAGATCTTCATCAGCTTCGGGTGGAGCTTGTGAAGAACTAGCTCCCGGAGTATTTGCAGAAGATCGAACCCATTCACCGGTTTTCTTATCCTTAATCCATCCCGCTCTCGTTAAGGAAAGAAGGTTAATTTGTTTCTTAAGGGGGAAAACGACATCTAGACCGACTCTAAGCCTAGTTTTGGAAAACAGATTACTCAAAATGCAACCGTAAACTAGGGATGAACATAGTTTCTTGTTAGGAACAAGATTTACGGTTTTAATAATTTCAGCAAAAATAATCTGAGGTAGGTTAATTTTAATATTATTTTCGAAACAATGTAACCACCAAAGATCTAAGGCTCTAAGAGTAGAATAACGACCTCCGGATGGTCGAAACCACCAAGAAATCATTAGATGAAGAAAACATTCATGAAGGTCTAAGACACTTGCACTATCCTTTCTTTTATAACGAGATCCTAAAACCTGTTTTTCATTTGAAATACCATCATTATCTAATCCGAATGTATTGGCTATATAAGCCGAGTCCATATATAAGAATTGTCCTAGGAGGTAGGAACGAATTCCAATGGTTTCGGTTTCAGTTTGGTTTTT